GAGCAGTGGGGAGGACTGAAGGTAGTTTGTCCCTGACGCAAGATTAAGAAGGGCGGAGAAACGGAAGCAGCAGCTCCGGAGGCAGACTCAGATACGATAATTAAGCCCAGGTGGTTGTGGCTTGGCCCCTCCCAAGAGAGTATATAAGTGGAGAAGTTGGGAGGGGACATTTGCAGGACACAACAGTTTGAAACAGTATTGGAAAACTCTGTCTGTCTTGTATCTGTGCTTGTTGGATTTTGAGTTGCTGCCAACTATTCTTGCATGTGAGTCTTGTCTGAGCCTTCAGCCAAAGGAGTCGATAACTCCGTGATTAAAGAGTGGCAAACAGCCAAGTCTGTGTCTGGGTGATTCGCAGGTCGGAGAGGGGGTCAGAACAGTTTTGTGTCCTGCCCCATACAAAACAAAAGCTACATTGAGCCACCATGGAACAGCTCCATGCTGACAATGCTCCACTGGCACAGCAGCTGGCTTTGCTGGCTGGCCAGATAGCTCAGCTTCAAGGGCCTGTTATTCCCCCCCCCCCCCAGCCTCAGAGGAAATGTCCGGTTGCCATGCCTGACAAGTTTGACGGCACCCAAGCCATGTTTCCAGGTTTTTTAGGACAATGCCAGCTTTTTATCAGTCTGAGAGTGGAGGACTTTCCCACTGACCGGGCTAAGGTGGGATTCATTATCAGCTTGCTCTCAGGCTCCGCAGCTCGTTGGGCTCCTCCTTTGTTGTCCCAGGCTAGCCCTTTGCTGGATGATTTCGGGGGGTTTGTGATCATCTCAGACTCATGTATGAGGACCCCATTAAGGAGGAAACAGCCACCAGACTGCTCAAGACGCTGCAGCAGGGCCGGAGCTCCTTGCAGGACGATTGTCAGTGAATTCTGGCTCCTTAGCCAAGATTTGGCTTGGAATGAGGCAGCCCTCATGGACAGCTGTCAAGATGAGCTGTCGGACGACCTGCAGGATGAGCTGGTGCAGGTGGAGAGGCCACCAACGTTCAACACGCTGATCCACCTGTGCTTGCGAATAGACGCTGGTTGCAGAGGCGGGGGCTTCGCTACACGTCCCAGGAGACCAGTGGGGTGCCAATCCCGCAGGAGACCCCAGCTCCACGGGAGGAGCCCATGGATTTGGGTGCCGTTAAACCCTGCTTGTCACGAACTGAGATGGACAGACTGCGCACAGGGGGGGTTGTGTTTTTATTGTGGGGATCTTGGACCCCTGGCCACAGTTTGCCCCAAGAAGAGTAGGGGGCCTGCAAAGTCTGGGGCCTACCCCTCAGCTCCAGAACAACTTGTCAGGAAACAGGCAGAGCCCGATCTGAGGGAGACCTTAGGTCGGGCGCACACTGAAATAGAGATTGACGACCCTCCCCAGCACATGATCTTGGCAGCACGCATTCTCCTGTCTGATAGTCCGCCGGGGATTCCAGCCCACGCCCTGGTCGATTCCAGGGCTACCACGAACTTCATGGACAAGGCGTTTGCGACCAAGTATGCCGTCCCTCTGTGTCCGGTGGACCCACCGATGCTGGTCGAGACCATTGATGGCCGGGTGCTCCTGTCTGGGCCTCTCAAGGCCGCCATGCAACCCTTGCACCTGGTCCTCGGGGATCACAAGGAGGCCATCCAGTTTTACATTGCTTTGGGCCTGCATTTCCCTGTGGTCCTGGGCTTGGCTTGGCTGCGGGTGCACGACCCTCAGATTTATTGGTCCCAGAACCTGGTCACGTTCCCGTCCCTGCAGTGTGTCGACCATACCCGTCACATCTGTGCAGGCAGGTTGTCAGCACCTCTCCATTTAATAATTAGGAAAGAAAGACCATGAGACTTCATACGTGGAAAATCAAATGTACTTT